AAGCGTGGTTATGCATCTCAGAACGCCAAGGATGAACTCAGCTGTTTCACATTTCTTCCTCCATGTGTCCGGTGACCCAGAAGCGGTGACTCGTGGTATATATGGCGTGAGAGTTGCACCCAGCCCCAGAGCTGAACGCGCATTACTGAGTCGGATCCCAGTGAGCAGACGTCTTTGCGCAGTCCGGTTATAAAGTTCAATCAAGCTCAATACCTCTCGGTCTAAAAATCGGTGCCTGTTCGTAGTGTCGGCTTATGCCCCAACGGACTGCAGTTCTGTTGCTGAGAAGGATACTTTCTGTCGAGACCGATCCGGGCTCATCCGTCAAGCAAATACCCTGACACTTGTCATTGCAGGCGATTTGAATGCTCAAGTACGCTGTCTTAGCTCCTTGAAATCACGTGTGGACGGTCGATTCGGAGCCGATGCTCACCGCGCGGACAACGGATATCGACTCCTTCAGTTGTGTGCTGATCGTAAACTGTTTCTGGCAAGTATAAACTTTCAACATAAACGTTCGCATCGCGTAACTTGGCAGCCATCAACTGCAAATCAATCGTGGACCCAGTTGAACCATGTGGCCATCAGCCACCGGTGGAGAGCCGTTCCCTCTGGGGTATACCACTTGATTTCGATCACGCCCTGGTGGGAGCACGTCTGACAGTTCGTTTTCCTTCAAGCCCTCACAAGTTAGCAAGAAGCATACCAATCCACTGCCTTCGAAGAACTACGATAACTCAACAGTATCGTTCTGAGCTACCCCAACAACTCTCCACAGTATACCAATACTGTGGTGGCAGTGAGCACACGGACTAACTTCTGAAACACTCGAAGTCGCTTGGCCACATGATGCCTTGCGCATGCTATCTGACGTCCAACTCAAGTAGCCCACATTGCCATTAGCTGCAGGTCGTGTGTGTCAATCTGGGTCAGTCATCGCTCATTCTAGAACACTGTGGATTTGGATCACACCCTTGTTCGCTGCTGTTTCTCGTTGCGCTTTTCAGAGGTGCGCAAGATGCGCACACTTCCTCTGGTCATTAATGGGCTCTATTAGCCTCCCATGAAATAAGTCTACAAAAAACACCTAGCAAAGTCCTTTTCGGATAATCCGCCTTTTGATGTTGACTCATAGGTCCCCTCAGTGCCCCTTTTTTCATTAGGCTCTCTTCAAGTAAACTGAAATGATTGTATGGCAGTTAATCACCAGTGTTCCTGTCAGTGACGACGCGACAAACCGGTTGGTGGCTATGTCTTTCATTGACCTGCGACCTTCCTCAGGGGTTCATTGTCAAAGCCTCGAGGTCGGGAGTTCGTCCACAGCGGTCTCACGGACTTGCGGATCTTGTCTGTTTGGTGTCTCGGCCTTAATGAATTTCGGGGCCGAGCCTCCGACAGAATGGCTTTTGGAACTTCCGAATGTGAGTCCAGTTCAAGGTGTTCAGAAGCTCTTCTGGGCTTAAATCACCTGGTTTAAGGGTAGGATCCGCTCGTTCATCAATCAGATTTGGTTTGCGTGGCGACCAAATTGGTTTGGGGTTTTTACAGGCACACGTCAGCCAAATCAATTTTCGGAAAACACCTCTCCCCACTCGATTTTCTGAACAAGCGCTCTGTTGCGTGGTGATTTCCGCAGTGGGGCCAGCGAATAACTTCTTTGGTCTTCAGTGGTCCCAGTTCTTTGTTGTCAGTGGTTAACGCGCGTGTGGTGCTGAACCTTTCGGCCTGAAAACTGGCATTGTGCTAAGTAGTACACAACCAGCCTTTCGTTTTACCGTATAGTCAAGTTCCCCTCGGATAATAACTCCGATTTGTTAGAGGCGATCCGCACATTTGGGTAATATGTGATGGTGCCGGTTGGTCACCTTCATATGTTGCACCAGTGGTGTTTCAAATGGTATTAGTATAGCATACTAAATGGTATTAACAGTATTCTTAAGTAGTCACCAGTCCAATATAATGCCATCGGATGGGGCATGTCGTGAAGGGGAGCATACCACCTCTGTTGAGTCATTGAACTCTATCATGCAGTCAATCTCGCCGGTGCAGTTCAGCGTACCACCAGAAAAAGCACAGGTTCAGTGTTCGACATTTCACATGGGTGGTCTATTCCGCTGCACGAGGACCTTCCGATTGCAGAGATAACCTGGATCCCCGGTGCCCATAACGCATGGTCACTAGTGTAACTGAAACACGTCGTGGAGTAGCGTTGAAATTTACTCACGCTGCTGCAACTGAGGATCCTTAGTTTTACCCTGAGAAGCTAAGCTTTGAGGTTGGTTTCGTTACGGTGTTGTCTTCGGTTTAGCTGTTCAGTATGTAGTTCCAATCCTGAGAGAATGTCTTCAGTGGCTTACAGCAGGTGTTGTTTTTCGTCAAATAAATCCATTTTTATTTTTCCCCTTTTAGCTCAGTCATTCAATAATTCAGACAATGTCCGGTCCAAGCACACGCGAAGCACGCCTAGAACGCTTGCGAGAACTAAACCTAAGACGAGTGAGTTGACGCCGTTTGCTGGTGCAACGAAAGCTATATAATAAGTATGTCATTGAAGTGCTACACTATTCTAGGTGTTTCCATTCGTGGTTCGAACCCGACCTCTGCCTCTCGACTTCCCTTGTCTAGGCTCGGGCAACCTGGCAGTATCTCAGCCCTCGTGTCCCCGCGTGGCATGGCAGCTAGGCACCGAAAGGTTGCTACAGCTGAACGATTATTATTATTATTCTAGGTGTTTTAGGACAATTAATCTGCTTGTTTTTACCAGAACAGTTAGGTTAATCGTTGTACCAACTGAAGCACCTCCATACCCACGCCCACAACACCCATGGATATGATATTTTTGCAATGCATCTCGTTTTTCTGGTGTGATTTTTGGGTGATCCTGTATTGCTATGGAGTGTTTCCTACAATGGCCATTTTCCCAAAAGTGACCCCACAGACAGCCACAATTACCATTATCTTGTTCTAAGTTATATGGCTTGTCTGAAATTACCCGTTAGCATAGTACTGTGTTGAAATATTGGCAGGTAAGGTGGATTCATTGGTAGTTGATCATATCGCTATCAGTCTACGCAGATTGACAGCTGAGTTGCAAAACATTTCATCGTTCGGGGAGACATTATCAGTGCACGGTTGGGTGGGTCGGTTAACAGATCAACAGCCACCTGATTATGGGTTTGGTGAAGCGGCCTTTGAGTTTTCAGGCTGACTCTTGAATAGTGAAAGGTTATGCCCACTAGGAAATTATGTATTGGTTTTGTTTGTTGATTCGATTCGTTCCGTGGAACCTCTGGCTCCGGATGGATCTCGGAGCATATGTGCATAGAAATTGCGAGCTGTCAAGTTCTCCTGAACAACGGAAAATAACTGCTGTCTGTTCTCGACAGCTACCTAACGACTAACAAGTACCACTAGAATAATTGACAGCAGTCATTTCTCTGACTTAAGCGCCATAAATACTGAAATGGGTGAAATATTGGTACATCGATCTGCTCCTTAGAACAGCCACTTCGCTATTCAACAGAGGTGGTATCCGCAGAGCATGAATGATGTATTGGTACTATGCGGTTGTTGTTTTACTCATAACAGGAAGACGTATGCATTCCTTTTATACCACCTAGTGATAGAAATAATTCGAAATACGTTGCTTCCAACCTGGATAATTCCGTTTGATCACCACAGAGAATTTCGACAGGATTCAGATTGTCATTCAAAAGTTCCGGACAAACTCACCGAAGTATCGAGGATCTCTTACATATTGGTTATTCTTTTTATGGTATAAGTAAGCCCGGTAGCCATCGCAAAGCAGAGAACGTTAAACGCAGAATAGCCTGGTATATTCAATCAATGCGGTTCGATTTATCAGCTATGAACTGTGTTAGCAATGTTGTGGAATGTAGGTAGCTCGGGTGCGCTGTTTGGGTGTTGGTCTGTTCGCCGAGCTTGGCAGTTGGATAGCAAACGTTTCATCACCAATCGAGGTGTCATCCTCAGTGCAGGGTTGAGTGGGACCATAGACACATTGGATCCAACTGCTACAGTTTGGTCACCGGAAATAGGGAAAGTGGAACATACAATCAAGCCTTGGAGGCGAAGGCATGTTCATTTTGTTCGGAAATTGGGTAGTTACGCACAGAAGGCGATAGTTTTGATGCCCGAGCGCCCTTTCTGCCAATATCATTAACCGTTTGATGATTTGAGTCCCGGGTACCCATCCAGGGAGGCGGCACTTGCCGACCCGACTAAGTTTACTGGTTAGTGTTTTCTTACTTCGTCGGCAGGTTATACACTGTCCACCTCACGGTCGATTCCACTCACAACAGGGCTAGGCGGGAAGAGCTATATGAGGCAGGCGGTCTTCTGCAATACGGAGTACATGTCCCAACTAGCGCAATCTATGAAGCGTGACTAATTCATCTATCGCGGGGGAGTTTCTTCTTCCTAAGACTTTACCTTAGCGTTGCTAATTCGATGTCCCCACCAGACCTGACCAATGCTTCGGAGACACCGATTATCATGGCTTGGCAGTTGGGTAACGAAAGGGTGCTACAGTTGAACAATTTTCTTAATGAAAAATAATTTACGGCTGTGGGTTTTAGTTTTCTAAGGTCTTTTGAAGTTGCTTAGAAAGCATTCTGGATATAGGCTTTCATACTGTGTGCAGATCGTATCATGTTGTGTTCCCCGCCAGACTATGTATGGATTTGAAGTGATTTCTATCTCAGTCCCTCTCTTATCCTAGAACGCGGCCCGCAAGTCGAACTACGCTGAAGTCGTAGAGGAGGACAAACGCTCAAAGCTTCCATCTAATTGGGAAACCCGACAAAAGCGCTTGCAGTGGGAGGAGGAAGATGAAATTTTTCGAGCTAAATGTGCGGAGCAGAATATTGACGCAGATCAAGCCCGGGCGTTGGAGGTTAGTGCGGACGTAGCTGATCGATTGGAAGCGCGTAAGCGCAGAAAGTACAACACAGACGAAGGATTCTCCTCATACGCAGACGCGTCGCACAGGAAGTATGTGAAGATGACCAAACACATCAAGCCGGACATGAAGGCTTACAAACAAGAAAAAGAAAAACTGTGAGCATACACGATTTGCTTAATTAGTGTCTGTTTTTTAACAGTTCTTCCGATGCGTTTAGCTTCGAACAAATACAAAGTACCATAATGGTACTGCCGAGTGCAATTATCCATGCTCTTCAGACAGCGATGTACTCTATACAGTTTGTAATCTACGGTTTCCTTTCACCAACTAGGGTCCCATGGGGTTGGATTTCGTCAACTCTACCTTCTATAGTCCGCGATTGTACAGAGGTCGCTAGACAAGAGACTTCTGATACTGATCCAGCCCTTAAGTTTAGATTGCTTTTGTCCGGGTTTCGATGACATTGTGCACCTGCTCCGTACTCAAACTGACATCATCCCGGATTTACAGTCGTTCAATTTGCAAATGACATCGTATTGCGTTCAATGTATTTTTGAGGTTGTGTTAGCTCCAACGGTGGTGAGAAATTCACGAATATCCGAGGCTCCTGTCGCGTTTTCTAACGAAGTAGCTTACCTCTAAATTTTGAGGTATGTACATATCAAGGAACAGAACACAATATTTGTACAGTTGTATTTACGTAGTGATCGCAGACGACCCACCATGATTGATCACAGCTAGATTTAGGTTTTTGGAAGGCTCGTTAGTATACAGTAGCACGCTTTGACCGTTTTTCGAGACTGCCTGATCACTCTGATGCGATTCCCAACTGTTACAGGTGGCTAGATTTCGGTATTTCAGATGGTCCGCGATGAATAATTGAAATGAACTGAGATCCATGGTTCTGATACGTCGGTTCATTTTTTTCCTCATTCTGCAGGCGCCTCAGGAACTGTTAGCTACTAACCTGTCCGAAGTACCGTAACTCCCTATAACCATCCCATTCTTTTTTCCTCTCAGAGGCGACCTGGCGTTCCCAACTGTCAACACCCTCGGACTACAAGACCGGAAAGATGATCCCGAAGCAGTTGAGCGGCTAGCAAAGAGGGTGCAAGATGAAGCAGCCAAGCGTCCCGCTTACAGTCGCCGGCGAGCTTTCGATGCAGACGCTGATATTGACTACATTAATGAACGTAACAAGCGCTACAACGAACTGCTCGAGCGGCATTATGGCAAATACACAGCTGAAATTAAACAGAATTTGGAGCGGGGGACGGCAGTTTGAAGGCCTTCTCATTGGTTGGACCTATATAATTGCAATTTGGCTCTGTTTCGCGGCCTCTGATGCCCGTTTTTGTACATAGCGACGTGAATAATTACCATTACTTTGACACTGCGACTACCCACACCTGTTCTTTGCTGCTGTGACAAGGCCCTCACCGATTGTAACAGCACCTCATAATCACACCATCAGTCTAATGCTTCCGTTTTTTCGTTAGCCAACCGGAGACCTAAAGTTAAGGGTGGTAAAACGGAGTTTTTGTACGACGGATCGAGTTGTCCGTTTGAACTTGTTGAATAGGGGTATGAGACCGTGACTAGTTTGGTGAACTCCACTAGCGATTTTCGGGACAGAACATGCAGCAGGTCATTTCAGAATTATTCAACATCCAAATAAGTACTAACAGTATTAATAACAAGTACTAATACAGGGTTACACGAGTTAATATTTGGTATCCGGTATTTTCTGCGTAAACCATCT